CCCCATGCTTGATGGTGACAGTTAAAATCTCCTAGTACTAGAAAGGGTTTAGGGAGAGATGAAAACATGTTATTTATTTCATTAAAAATTGGAGATGATGGGCGAGATAAATAAATAGATACTAAACATATGTTATGAACTTTCACTGCAATCATTGAAATTTCTTCACTATGTCTTATTAAGGTAATGGGTTCATAAATAACACCATTTTTAATTAGAATGGCTACTCCACCATAGCCATCCATTCTATCTTCTCTAATAGTATGATAACCATTAATTTTAAAATTTCTTTGAGATGTAAGCCATGTTTCAGACAAGGCTAAAACAGAAGGCTCTAATTTATTTATTAAATGAATAATTTCATTTTTTTTGCTTAGGGCACTACGGCAGTTCCACTGTATTATCTTGTCTGTTTGTCTGTCCATTGATGAATTGAATGTTATTTTTAGTAATCTGAGCAGCGTTGGACGGTGGAAGGATATTGAATTGAGTAAACACATTGAAGAGAGCATTAATAAAATCAGGAGGGAGTTGATTCACTGAGGATGTTCTGTCATCACTTGTACTAAGACCACAGCCATTGTTAGGGGTAGGAATTGCAAATTCCTTCAATATAGTATTATGGGCTATGGTATCATAGCCTTTTGAAAATGCAGGCATATTACGCGGTTTCTTAAAAATAGTTTTTTTATAAGATGTTGTGTGGTTTATGTTACTATTAGATAAATTACTAATCATAGGTTCATTTACTATTTTTGTGGAAGGGGTCATTAAAGTATCAGCATAGGACCTAGATATGGGTGGAAGTAATTTTGATGCTTCTGCGTATGATACACAGTTTTGTGCCATGTATAATTTTATTTGGGATTGCCTAACATATTCCGGACAGGATTTATTATTGGCGTAGTGATGCCCATCACACCAGCAGCAGAGCGCATCTTCCTCTGTGATATTGCATGAGTCACCTGTATGATTTTGACCACATTTAAAACATCTAGGTTTAGATCTACATTGAACTTTAGTATGTCCGAAACGGCAGCAGTGATAACATTGGATTGTAGGAAATATATACAGATCCACATTGAGTGCATTGTAACACATGAAAATTCGTTTTGGTAAAATTTGGCCATCAAAGGTTAAAACTATAGTTTGGGATGGCTTCCAGGTAGGAGTTCCATCTACAAAGGATTTATAATTTAGTCTCCTTACTTTCAGAATTTCACCACAACCTATGGGAACAGAAATATTACTTTTAACTTCCTCCAGAGACCACTCTGCAGGGACACCTCTAACTAAACCCATTCGTGTAATGTTAAATGTTGGAATATATGCTTTTAAATTATTTTTTGACCAACTACTATGATTGATGAAATTATTTGCATCAGTAAATTTTGAGAACGAAACTTGCATTTTATTTCGCCCAATCTTTTTTACGCTTAATTATATTGTAAAAAGAGTTTTGTTTGAGAAATTTACCAAACGACATGGGATGCATTGTGATTCCGTCTGATGATGAATCTTGCTCTCTCTGACATGCACTACAAAAGGTGAAGCATCGGTTTTGTCATAAAACTTCCTACCTATAGGAATCAGTACTGGGGAGGGTATGGACACAGGAGAAGTTTTAGAGTCATTGACACTCAGGCTATTTGATTCTTGTTGGACTGGCGTTGCGGTGGATTCATAGCAACTGCAATCTGTAACTTTAGGTTCTGACGAGGAATGTTTGCGCCTTTTTTTGTTGCAATGTTTGCAAACATGGAGCCGGCTCCGTTTTAATGTGCGACTGGACATGGAACCATCTGTTTCCATACCAGATTCATTATTTGAAGTAATGGTAACAAAATTACTAGCCGGGGGGACACATCCCCCCGGCTCCGGGGGGACGTTCATACAACTATAAGATAATAATCAAATTTTGACTTACCAAGGCAGCAGGGACAATAAATAAAGAAATACACTAAATATATATACAATATTAATAAACAAACCTATCCGCTGATCACTATTTTAACTTCTATTAAGTAAATATTTTCAGATGCCAAAAGAACGCGTCCGCCAAGTTGGAAGTTTCCCGCGCTTTCGCCATGGAGTAACTTTATCTGTATTCTCTATAATTAATGGATATTAAGTTGACAACTGCTCGGGTAGCACTCTCATTGTCTGTGGTTCTGACAGGTGCGTTTCGTTTTTCCTGAACGTGAGATAGTCTTTGATATTTATCTATTTGTCTATGTTTGCACTCGTTGAATTTTGATGACTCACGATTGTTAAGTATCAGAATGCAATTATGATAATCCTCCGATGACAATTGTTTCCTCAAATCACTGGACAAAACCTCAATGGTGCCGTTGATTTTATATAAATCCGAACGATGCCCTTCTATAATCCTTCGAAGTAGCTTTTTACTTGCCTCTTGTAGGATCTTGGCGCTCCCACGTATGTCCTTTTTTGGTGTGATTCTCACACTAGGTGGGATGAGATTGTGGTCTCGGCATCTCTTCAGGAAATTCAACGGTGTTAGTTTCCTTGCGCGCTTTGTCTTCAGACCTTCCAATCGGCGGATCTTATTAGCGGTTTCCAGCCCGTACTGGTTAATATATTTGTTTCTTAGGTTTTCACGCACATCACTCATTAAACAAAACTAGTTTTTACGGGTTAATGCACGAAACTTTATTTATTTATTGACGTTTCGTAGCCTTTACAGGCTACGTCGTCAGAATCAAACTTTTATTTAATTTGTCGAGCTACCTTCGAAAGACTTTTATTGAGCGTTCGGTTATTTCATTGTCCGATTTTTAAAGTTTTGTTGTCTATGTATGAATTTATTATTTAATTTACTTAATAAAGTATTTTATTTAAAATCCTTTTTTGTAATTTTGAGTTTATTTATTTGACCCTAACTACCGTAAACTACCACCGCACCGGTTCCAAAATTGGGAGACCTTTCTGAGAAGAACCGGCGAAACAAACTCAAGAGAGGCTTTCTATCTCCTTCTTATGTAGAAACTGGTTGATCTTCTTTCTACTACCGGTCAAGTGCAATATACCCTTTCAAGTTGCTGGTGTCTACAAACTTGAATGCGACTGTGGGCTCTCCTACATCGGGCAAACAAAGAGGAGTATAGGGACTCGGGTAAAAGAACATATCGCAGATATGAAACATAGGCCATTACATTAGATTTGATAAGCCACAGATACTTGCAACTGAGAAACGTTTCGTTCCTAGAATGATACGCGAGGCTACTGAGATTAAAAAATATCCAAATTTCAATAGGGAAGATGGTTGGTATATACCACCAGGTTGGGAACCTATTACACAGGAGATAAAATCCCAACCCCGAGCACACACTGCAAGACCAACAGATACTATTAGTTCTTTTTGTTTGCATAATTTAACATATGAAGGAGATAGAAAGCCTCTCTTGAGTTTGTTTCGCCGGTTCTTCTCAGAAAGGTCTCCCAATTTTGGAACCGGTGCGGTGGTAGTTTACGGTAGTTAGGGTCAAATAAATAAACTCAAAATTACAAAAAAGGATTTTAAATAAAATACTTTATTAAGTAAATTAAATAATAAATTCATACATAGACCATAAAACTTTAAAAATCGAACAATGAAATAACCGAACGCTCAATAAAAGTCTTTCGAAGGTAGCTCGACAAATTAAATAAAAGTTTGATTCTGACGACGTAGCCTCAATAAATAAATAAAGTTTCGTGCATTAACCCGTAAAAACTAATTTTATTTAATGAGTGATGTGCGTAAAAACCTAAGAAACAAATATACTGATGATTCATTTTGAATTTAGAATACGTTTTTTTCATTTTGCTTGATATTCGTTTGTGTTTCCTTGTATCCAGGGTGGTTTAATGGTCTAATACCTCGTTTACATGCAGCGCGAGTAAGGAGGGAAGTGGGCAGGTAAGTGGGCATGACGAGTATGTAAACACGATACTCGTCATGCCGCTGCCATTGCCACTCGCGCTGCCCGGCGCTCCCCAAAAGAGCGGTTTTTTGTGCGGACGTCAAAAGACCGGCAGCGCGAGTGGCAATGCGTGTTCACACTCTGAACGTCGCTTAGTTCGCGCCACAGGCTTGATGAAGATAGACGTCAAATTAAAAATTATTAATAATTAATATTTATTAGGCAGCAGACGGGACTCGAACCCTTACCCTTCACAATCCTTGCGAATGCACTAACCAATTATGCTACCGCGGCCCTCACGGACCGCGTCGAAATTCCTTTAGCCATTCTTAAGCTGCAAGGCAGCGCCATCTCTTCGCATTATAGGTAAACCACAATGTCAAATGAATACTTTTACAAGTATTAAACATTTGAAAGAAGAAATAGTTATAATTTTTATTTTTTTAAAGCATGTAACTGCTTGATGTTTAAATCTAAAGAAAATATAACTAGATTTTTTTTTGCGAAAAGTGCGGGTTCGAGTCCCGTCTGCTGCCTGGTCCGCGTGGAATTTTTTCTTGTTATATTTTTTTTAGATTTAAACATAAAGCAGCGACATAACATGCTTTAAAATAATAAAAATTATAACTTATATTTATTAATTTATTTATATTAAAATTATTAATTATTTAAATTTCGAACATAATTATGGATTGCAAAAAGACACAGCTCGGCCGCTGTTATTACTTCGACGTCTGCCATTGCCGAAACTCTGAAGCGAAGTGAGAGGTAGGGCAGTATGTAAACACATACTTCTCTCAATCATGCCGCAGCAATATTTGGGGAATTATTGCCGGCAACGCGACGGGTAGCGGCATGAGCATAGTCTAAACGAGGTATAAGGCTCTATCTGAGCTTTGATCTGGCAGCACTTCTCAGTACTCTGTGCAATTAATTTGACATGTGAGTGAGTAACTCAATCTTTAAAATATATATTTATTCCTCAATATAAAATAAACAAACTAAAGATGAGGCTGTATGGGCTTTAGTTCCCCTTGCCGTCCCTAAAAAGGGAGAATATTTAAAAAAAAATCAAATATTTGTTGTGTTGTGGTTGTGATATAAAATCAAAAAGCTTTATTGGTTCACTATTATTTTGTGTTAATTAGTTAAAGTTATTGCCACTAAAGTAAAAACCAATTATTTGTGTATTCTTAAAAAAAATGCCTAACACACGGAAAAAGGTTATAAAAACTGTTTACAAGGACGCCGATGATAGCGACGCAGAAGAAGCTTTCAGCGATTCCGGTTCCGAAGCAAAAATAACTGAAGAATCGAGCTCTGAAGATGAAGGCGAAGACCAGGAAGCGTCATCAGGCGATGAGTTCAAAAATAACAAGAAATCTAAATATAATAAAACAGTACGTAAACCAAAACCAAAATTTGCCAAATCGCTTATAAACAAAATAAATAAACAATCTTCTGCCAGCGCTGAAATTGAATATTCCGAATTCACACCGTCAAATTTTTCCGTTAAAGATCTTACTGAAGAAGATAAGATTCTACCTCCAATACTTAACCTTTCAGAAAGTGGTGAGTAATCAAATTAACAGTAGCAACAGCAATTTGGTTTATGGTTTGTTAGGTCTTAATATTATTTCCTGGGAATATTTTCTATTTTTCAGACAGCAGTGATGATGAAGAGAAAGTAGTAGCACCAAAACAAACTGTGAATAATTCAACATTGACACAGAGTCAGAATTCAGATAGTGATAGTGATAACAAGATTGAGTATAAAGATGTAAGTAGTGCAGCTCATAAATATATTTTTTCCAGATTAATTTGTAGTTTCGCTTTCTTTCTTCCTCAGGGGAATCATTAAATGCCTACATAAAATTATTTTCCCAGATTTACACTTCATGGGTCAATCGACTGTTATACCCACACTCTGTTGTCCCTGACATTTTCTTACTAAAACTGGGGTAAATCATTTTTTGTGGTTTAATTTATTACTAGATATGTTTGTTTAACCCTTCAATTGCGGGAAAGCCTCCGCCTAAAACACCCCCCGCTTGCGGAACGATTGCGCGGCCGCAGCGCGCGCTCGACGCGGTTTGAAATTTATTCAATAACTTTAATAAATCGTTCGGTCGACATGCAGCAAAATATTTTATTTCAATTATAGATAGTCAATGTACCTTCTTTTTTAGTAATTTCCTATATAAATTGTTTCAACCTTTTTATTTTTAACAGGAAACGTAGACAAAATCAATTTCGCACCTTAGGTGGCATAAACGCGATTTGAATAAATTATACGAATACTTGTGCTTTTCATTGATAACCTTTTCAAAGTTGAATAACTAAACAATAGATTTTTGCAAAAAAATAATATACTGTTGTAATATAATGTTGTTAATAAACTGTTTTAAAAATTACTTTTTAGTTGCGAGCTCCCCGATACTCGATTTTAAAATCGTCGTACTAACGGTTGTTTGGTCATAAGAACGACTTCACCACAATGAGTGAATGGTGTATTCATCTGGGTATAAAATTCAAAAGACTTTGAACTGTATTGCATTGTATTTATTCCCAAAATTGCAAAAAATTGAATGCGGGTGACGAGCGAGCAGATCTACACTTCCCCAAATGGACTTTACTCACGAAGGCGTGCAGCGCTGCACTACAGCAATTGAAGGGTTAATAATAAATAAAATAAAAATAAATAAAACAATTAAAAATTAATGAGTAACATGGTATTGGTAACTTAATATACAAATTCTTATAAAGTTTGAATGTCCCCAGTGCCTTATACTTTGTCTCATCATCATCATCATCAACCTATTAAAGTCCCCACTGCTGGGGCACAGGCCTTCCCTATGGATGGAATAGGGAGATTGGGCCATGACCCACCACGCGGGCCCAGTGCGGATTGGTGGGTGCTAACGACTGCAGATGCAGCCGGGACCAACGGCTTAACGTGCCTTCCGAAGCACGGAGGAGCTCGAGATAGTAAATTTTTGGTCACCCATCCAATGACCGGCCACTGCGAAAGTTGCTTAACTTCAACGATCGCAGCCGAACGCGCTAGCCACCTGCGCCATCGAGCTCCTCATATACTTTGTCTATAAGAACTATAATTTTGAAATGTTTGTAAGGCTAAGATATATTAATAATATTACAGAAACATATTTAATCTTTATACCTCATGAGTCAGCAGTATAAAATATAAATAATTTAAATTAAAAAGTAATTTCTCATTTCTTTCCCTGGCTTTCGTGTCTCAGTGGTTTGTTCGCTGGGTTTCATGGTGTTGCCTACTTGAGAGGTCCCGGGTTCTCCCCAAACATTTTGTTGTAGAGTGGGTATAACAGTTGATTAACCCTCATAGTGATTTCCTTCATATCATACCTAATCTTAATTGAAATAAAAAAAATTTGATGTGTTTAGTTTATGTTGAATTATAATCTTTATTTATATTTTTTCAATGCTTATTGTTCCACTACGGCAGGTATGGTCCAAAAATTTAAAAGATAGTGAAGAAATTGCAAGAAAAGCATTCCTTGAACTTGAACATCATAATTCTTTAATAGAAAAAACAAAAGAATCTCTTGAAAAGTACACACACAAAAAATCAAAAAAAGGTTGTGAATTTGATGTAAGTGACCTACTTGCTCAAGGAGAACAGTTAGTCCCGCAGAAAACCACCCCAGTGAAGAAAAGAATCACAAAAGTTAAAGATGACAGTGACTCAGAAATGGAAGATTGGGAGGAAGTCAAAGGTATATATAAATCTTATTTATTTTTTAGTGTAAATATTTTTAAAATAATATCTGACACTCAGTTATAAAGATTTTTTATATTGGGCTCAATAAATAATACTTATGTTTTGCTAGCCTACACCATTTTCTTCTACTTTGTGGGGCATAAGCAGGCTTGCTTAGTAACAACAAAACTATTATTTTGTTAAGTCTTGTTTATTTTTAATAATCAGTATGAAACATTAGTTTGTGTAAATGAATGTTTACTGGTATGAGTCTAGATGCAAACAAATCTGGTACAGCAATTTTATATGCCAGCCACATCAGCCACCCTTACCTTGCTGACCTGCAAAATGCTTCTTTAAGAATCTTAATCCTATATAAGATTGAATAGTTTGCGGACAGAAATTACCTGACAGAAAGCATACACTAACTGGGTGCTGTACCTAATAGGTTTAAATGCCATAACTTTCAAGATGACTCTTTGTGCTCTTTCAAGTTCTAACATCTTTGACTTTCCAGAGCCCCCCCAAACCGTTATACAGTACGATATTATTGTCTGTGCCAGAGAAAAGTTTGCAGTTCTGAGGATATGAGAGTCAATGAAATGTCTCAGTCTGCTGAAAACAAAAATTAACTTTCTGGTTCATGAAGTGATAGATCGGATATGTTTGGTTCACAACAACAGATTATCAATAATATCTAATGCTATTTGTACATGTTATTGGTACGCAAGTGTATGAGTTACTGGCTGGCAAATTACAATTGTGTGCTTTCAAACAATAATCCGAATCGGGTTGTGAGGAGAGTCTGGGAGCCAATGTGATAAATTTAGTTTTATTAATATTTAATGACAGCATGCTGTTCGAAAGCCATGACATTACCACACTCAAAGCCAATTCAGTGGAAACCCTAGCCTCGTCCCAAGTCTTCCCATTTACAAGAATTGCTGTATCATTGGCATAAGACAGGATTTTACAGTTTGGCAGTTTTAATTGACACAAGTCATTCATATAAAAACAGGGTAGGTCCAAGGACGCTACCCTGTGGTATACATTATTCAATTGGTTCTTCCTGACTTGTATAAATAGCTATCCGAACACACTGTCTTCGCGTATTTAAGTAGCTTTTGAATAATTCAAGTGAGACACCCCTAACACCTATACTCTGAAGTTTGCATAAGAGAATAAATAAGTCAATAACTTTTTTTGGTCATTAACTACAACATTTTTCAACAGGTAAACAAGTGTGTATATTGTATGTTTATTTCCATATTTAATATCATAATTTTGAAAATGATACCTGTAAGGGCCCGAAACATCAATAAAAATAATTTTATATACTCTGTTTCACCTTTTAAAAAAGTGTTTCATTTAAAGATAGGAGTGTGTGAAAACTTCAAAAATAAATATTCTTTGCCCATGTTGGTGGCCCAGTAAGCTGGTGTTAAAGTAGCCTAGAACTTTACAAATGTTTTTCAGATAAATTAGATTTCCCCTAAAGCTTATGAGCTAATGAACCATCTGAACATCTCAGAAAGGTAGTACTATTAAGGACTGACAGAAATTCCTTTGCATTATTTTTAGAACCAGGTTTTGCTTTTAAATGCCATCAAGGGTTTGATACTTAGTTCTTTCGGTTTAGCTCATTCATAAGACCATAGAGCCTGTAAAGGTTCTTAATCATTATAACAAAAAAATAACAAAATCATGATTTTTGTAAACATTTGTCTCATAAAAAGCAAATTAAATGGTGAATGAAGTCCTGAATTCATAGTAAATTATTTAAGCAACTGATGAGCATGGTTAGTTAGCTAACAATTTTTAACCATCTGTTTAATAGTATCAAAATTTCTATTTCAGAATCAAATGCAATACCACAACAGGGATTGCAACTTATTGTTGAATTACCAAATACAATCTGTAGAAAGACAAAAAAAGTTGATGTTGAAATGATGATGAAAAGAAAGATGAACAGAGTAAAAAAAGAATATCAAGTATATATGCATAAAGTTCATGTTCTATGTTGGTTGGGACATGGTAATTACGTTAGTAAGGTTCTAAATGACCAAGAACTGTTGGCAGCTTCACTGTCCTTGGTGCCTTCCAAAGAATGTTATCCTGGGGAAAGAGTGGACATGAAATATCTTGAACAAATAACTACATGGTACAAAGATAAATTCACCTTGAAACAAGATAAAAATGAAAATAAGTTCAGACCAAAAGCACCTGCTCTTAAAGATTTACTGATAGGACAAATAAAGAGTCGTACAGTTACCACAAGAAAATATTTAGTGTATATATTTGTCTGTATGCTAAGGGCTCTTGGATTGCAATGTAGGGTAATGTTTAACTTTGTCACATTACCTTTAAGACCTCCGAGTTCAGAGTTATGTTCACTATCAACAAAACCTAAGGATGATAAATGTAATTCTGACAAAAAAACAAACCAATCTAAGAAAACATCACATCAAAAGAAAACTGACTCTAGGAAGGCACAATCAAAAGACAAGATAAGTCAGGTTGATGGAGCTGATGATGCTGCTGATTATTACAATGATGATTCTGACATTTTTGAAAATATTGCTCAATTAGATGGTAGTGATGACCTATTACCAATGAAAACAAGAAGCACTAGATCCAGGAAAGCAAAAGATACATCCTCCATTACACCAATGCCTGAAGACGATGTCTCCCCACCTAAGAGATCTAGGAAAAGTCCAAGCCAAAAACCTACTAAAAATGCCACTAGAAATAGTAAAAATAACCAAAACCTCCAAGTCAAAAACACTAAAAAGGATGATGAAGTTAAAGCAAGTACAAGTGATGCTCAAGTCACAAGAGTAAAGAAATCACCAGCCAAAACAGTTTTACGGGATGTAACGAAAACTGATAAAACCGCGTATCTTGTAAGCCCTCGTAAAACCAGAAATGCTTCTAATAGAATTTTAGAACCTAACAAAACAGATAAAACTTTAATAGATAAGAGTGCTAAAAAAGACATTTTAAACCCACCAGCTATAGTTATAACAAGTGAAAATGATCAGTTATCCAGCAAATATTTTGAAAAAAAAGAAGAAAACAGTAAACTAAGGCCATCCAGAAAAAGATCAAATACTACTACTTCTAATAATTCTCAATTAGCTGTTGACAAAAAAGAAACAGCTAGCAAACCTGTTAAAACGAGAACCAAAAGTGCGCCTGAAACAATTGCGGAAAAAAGCAAATACTTTGAAACTACTCCAAGTCAGAGCAAAAAACCGAAACTTTCTTTGTCAAAACCGAAACCTCTCAAAGTCAATGAAGATAAAAAAAGAGTAAGTCACAGAGATCTTGTTAAACCGAAACCTGATAAAATCGATGTTAAGGATGATATTGTTACATTAATTAAAGCGAGAATCAAGGAAGCAAAGGAAGAATCGAAGAAAGGAATTGTGAAAGGTAGTATATTAGGTTCTGTTATTCATTATATCCCTTATAATTAAATAAAAAAAAAATAAGGGCATAAGAACCTCTGTTAAAAATGTTTTGTTAATTTTTTAGGTAAAGTAAAAGAAGAGTCTGAAGACGACAGCGATTACTTGCCAGAAGAAGTTGTCAAACGTCGTAAATCAGCTGAGAGTGATGACGATTTCAAGCCCATGAAAATGACCCCAAAACCAAGCACAAGTAAAAAGATAGACCGTCGGGTGCTGTCGTCATCGGAAGAGGACCTCCCTAAAAATAAAGTAGATGTATGGTGTGAAGTGTTTGTTGAAGAACTCGAACAATGGATATCTGTAGATGTTGTTAAATCTAAAGTACATTGTGCTGAAAATATTTATGTAAGTTAGTTTTAGCTAAGTAATTAACTAAAAGTAATTTATATGGTACTATAATTTAATAACCTCTTTCTACTCCAAAGATTGAATCCCGGCTGAAATACTATTTGTGTATTGAGATAGACAAAATGTTGAACAAAGTTTAGTTTAAGCCAGAATTTTTACCTATAAATTATCTGAAATTTTATTTACATGATTTGTATACTAATTTACCTACCATCGTAACCTTCCTAAAGAAGAAGAAATAAAAAAAACATGTTTCTTTTGTTTCTGCTACTAATACAGTTATTTGGTAGTTTTATCTAAAAAGGAGGGATTTTCCGGGAGTTTTGAAAATTGGTAATATTATAGATTTTGAGGTGCTCTTTCCGAATTTCGACTTTGCCACTTCGTATTTTTGCCGCTCGCGCCGCCATATTGGAAAAATGGTGCCTAAAAGCAGTTTTTTGACAATATCTCCTTTCCGACTCATTTTACGATAAAAACATCTAGTACAAAATGAAACTAGAGGCAATTGCCTACAATTTATGTATCTACCTGTTTTTCATAAAGTCAATATAGCCGAATCCTCTTCGCCGAATCGCAATCCTCTTCGTTAATAATAATAACTCATAAATATAATGAGTTGAAATTAAATGCCACAGGTTGCATGAATGACCAAAGCCCGCGTTGGAGTACACTTTGCGGCGCTCGTACGCCTAAACAATTGACTTTATGAAAAAAAAAAGGTAGATACATAAATTGTAGGCAATTGTCTCTCGTTTCATTTTGTTTTTTAACTGTTTTTATCGTGAAATGAGTCGGAAAGGAGATATTGTCAATAAACTGCTTTTAGGTGCCATTTTGATGATAAGGCGATATTTTTGCCGCTCGCGCCGCCATATTGGAAAAATGGTGCCTAAAAGCAGTTTTTTGACAATATCTCCTTTCCGACTCATTTTACGATAAAAACATCTAGTACAAAATGAAACTAGAGGCAATTGCCTACAATTTATGTATCTACCTGTTTTTCATAAAGTCAATATAGCCGAATCCTCTTCGCCGAATCGCAATCCTCTTCGTTAATAATAATAACTCATAAATATAATGAGTTGAAATTAAATGCCACAGGTTGCATGAATGACCAAAGCCCGCGTTGGAGTACACTTTGCGGCGCTCGTACGCCTAAACAATTGACTTTATGAAAAAAAAGGTAGATACATAAATTGTAGGCAATTGTCTCTCGTTTCATTTTGTTTTTTAACTGTTCTTATCGTGAAATGAGTCGGAAAGGAGATATTGTCAATAAACTGCTTTTAGGTGCCATTTTGATGATAAGGCGGCAAGAGCACCTCAAAATGTATAATATCACCAATTTTCAAAACTCCTGGAAAACTTTGCAGGTATCCACTATATTTCTCACCAAATGACTGTACTATACTTCATCTTTATAAAAAGTAATTTAATATGTTCTAATTTCCAGTCTGGTGCCACTCATCCTGTTTGTTACGTAGTTGGTTGGGACAACAATAACTACCTTAAAGACTTGACTCGTCGATATGTGCCCCATTGGAATACGGTCACTAGGAAACAGCGAGCTGAACCGCAGTGGTGGAGTGAAGCGGTGCAGCCATGGTTAGGCCCGAAAAATGCTCGGAACAAGGAAGAAGACGAGCAACTTGATAGAATGCAGTTGGAGGCCCCTCTACCCAAAAGTATTGCAGAGTAAGTCGTGTTCAAAATCAATCAAATCAAAACTCATTTATTTAGCATTCCACATAATAGGCTATTTGACAGTATTAAAAATAAAGTGCCAATTATTAGCATCTGTGTTTAGAATGAATATTGGCAGGGGTTTTGACTATTTTTACAAAAAAATATCCATAATATTACTGAAAACCCACGAAAAAGATAATAATTTTCTTATCTATTGTCACGTGACCCGAAACACTTGGGATTGGTCGAGCCTAAAATGACGTCATACGCAAGTAAACTTCCGTTTAAAGTGACATAACATTGTATCGTTTGTCGATTTAATAACAGTCGTGTGACGTCACACACTAGTAAGACGTCCAGAGAAACGTTTTCGCGGCAAATTGGAAATGGAGTTTTTGATTTGGTTATTTTTACTGAAATACACAACAGAATAATGAATAACCACTTTTTACGGACTCCATAAACATTAGTCAATAACGTGAGATCGTTTTCTAAAACTTGTCAAATACCCTATTAATAAAATCATAATATTAGGTTATTATGTGGAACGCCGAATGTTCATGTTCATTTTTCTTTCTGACTTATTAATTTCTGATAAACATTTGTATTGAAACATCATCTAAAAGTATATAAAATAGTTGTATTCTAAAAGTAATTTTAAAATAAAACTATATTTAAATCAAATCGGTAGAAAAATACAACTATTTTGAATATTCCAATAAGTTTTCCTCCTTTTCGTTGATCTAAGCATGCTTTAGATAACCTCGTTGACAAAACTACCTGCACTAACGCGCCTATAAATACACGAAAACGATGTATTCCGCTATGATCACCTGGGTGATCACCTAGGCGACTCTTTAGTGTCCTCTGATCACCCTGGCACTTGTTATTGATAAATCATAAGGATTATCTTAATATTATATAGGAATGTAACATTGCGCCACTCGAAAATTACGTCGTGAAATGACGTTAAAATTTTCTTCCTTTTTCTACCTTCCAAAAGGCAAGCAAAGGAATCAGTCCAGAAGCCTTGTTAAGCCACAGAAAATAAAATAAAAACGCATGGAATAGCCGCCGTTATGCTACGTCTGTCGCTCGAGAGACACTTTTCTTGTAACTGTGCAAAACGTTTTTAAGAATGCCGAATCAACTAGTAGAGGTTTTTATCACATGATAATATTTACTGTATTATAGGTATAAAAATCATCCGCTGTACGCGTTAAAACGACATCTATTGAAATACGAAGCATTATATCCGCCTGACGCGGCGGTGCTCGGGTTCGTTCGCAGCGAGCCCGTGTACGCACGAGAGTGCGTATACATCTGTCGTTCGAGAGACACATGGTTGAAGGAAGCCAAAGTGGTCCGTCTGGGGGAAACGCCTTATAAAATAGTCAAGGCCCGGCCGAAGTGGGACAAGGTAAGGTTCATAAACATAGATAATGAGCTGAATACACAGAGACATAGAAAATGAAATAATATCTACACGAAATAGACCACGATCGAAAGAGCTATCATGGCTGCACAATCTAACTCACACTTCTGCCCATTTTACTGTACAAGGGATGCTTAGACCATTCTCTATGTGTTTAAGCAAATACAGGTAATATTGTTATTATGGTTATGGTAATGCCCAGAACACCTGACAAGCATTTGTACCCATGTTTTGTTTTTGCTCACGGAGGCTAAAGTTGTCCGTCTTGGTTGGAGAAAAGCCTTACAAAATCGTCATTTCTCGACCGAATTGGGACAAGGTAAGGCCCATAGACAAAGAGAACGGACTAAGCTATACCCACACAAAGTAACAGTCTGGAAAGAGATAAACTATCATGGCTTCACGATGTCTCTCACACTTTCCACACAGATATTTCACCTTTGTCTATTTCACTTTACACCTAGATAAGGAACGCTAAGACCATTCTCTATGTTTTTAAGCAAATACAGATAATATTATTTTTATTGTGTATTCACATAGTAAAAATATATGATAGCTACAAATATATTATACTATGATAGCTAAATAATTATATAGTAATAAATTGCATTTAATTGATTTATTTTAAATACATCCGTCAGCGTCATCGGCCTATTAAGGTCCCCACTGCTGGAGTACGCTTTCCCTATGGATAGAAGAGAGAGATTAGTGAGTGCTAACTACTGCCGATGCAGCTATCTTAACGTGGCTTCCTAATCTCGGAGGAGCTCTAGTTATAAAATTTTTGGCCACCCATCCTAGAATCGGCCATTACGAAAGTTACTTAGCTCCCACAATCGCAGAACGAACGCACTAACCACTTGCGCCAAAGAGCTCTTCATTACCACCTTTTTACAATATAGATAATTCACCTAACCTTCTCTTCTAAATTACAGCTATCCAACAAACTAATAACAGACAAACCATTAGAAATATTTGGACCGTGGCAAGTGCAGGATTACGAACCGCCCGTGGCAGAAAACGGCATAGTACCTCGCAACGCCTACGGAAATGTCGAATTATTCAAAGACTGTATGCTTCCTAAAGGAACTGTTCATATCAAGTGTAAGTTTTAAATGCGTTATTGGTGTCGATTCTGGCAGAGTTCTCTAAACCTAAACTTAAATTTGATAATAGTGTATCCTTGTCATTCTTTATACAGAACTAGTGGCCTGCCCTCGCTTTGCTTCGGTGTAGAGCTGTAGTGTAGACTATAGTTTTTGTTCAAAGGCTTGTATTATACACAATGACCTTCTTCAAAATAATTATAAACCTTCCATTCCAAGTAAAAAATTGGTTTGCATAGTTTAGGACCCCTTGTACCGAATGCAACATTGCTCTGCTGTTCCGATTTGAAAAATTCTTTTTGTATCGGACAGTGCATTTATCGAGGAAGGCTATAGGCTATATATTACCAGGCTATTACCAGTAGCAGCGTAGCGTCGATGAAAAATGTTGCAAAAACGGGTATAAATATTCCATTTGTGAGATTCCGTTGCGTGCGCTGTGTAAACGGTTAAAGTTACACAAAAATCATGTATGACGGAATTCTTTCCCTTTAGAAGTTCTGTAAAAAAGCCCACGGCAGCCTATATCTATATTTTAAGTTTGACTCACTATAAACCTTTTTTTCAAATTAATGCGGGTGAAACCGCAGGGGGACCTCTAGTTGTGACATAACTGTAATAGTGAGACATATGGTATCGCGGACTTTTTTGTAGAAATTTGTATCCTCTATAAAACTTCAGTACATCACTTTGCTCTATTTGTCAATGACTTCTGCAGCGTACGCGATATAAGGCTATTTTTTGGTATTTTTTAAACACGTTGGGTTACATTATCGAAGTTTTCATACGGAACCCTAACTTTTTTTGAAAATACACTATAGCCTATATTAATCAGTGATATTATTGATTCAGAGATTTTATTGTACTCTCCTTAACTTTTATTACCTTATTAGTCTAAGGGTCTTCTATTAATCACGTGTAGTTTAGCAAGCTTTTAGCTTTCCCCTCCTCCAAAATATACATGGTGATGTTTTAAATTAACCCCCTATCCTTACCCAACATTATCTGTATTTTTTTGTACAAACTATCCTAACAGTTTTTAGAACATTATCAAGAGAAAAAGTGTGTGCCGCTTTTCTGTTTAGAAATCGCGTGCTCAACATTATAACTCATTACGCCTCCTCTCCTGCCTTTATGATATTTCGGGGTTATTTCTGTAACCTCGCCCCCCTTTCGCGCTTCACCTAATTTACAGACTATCGGATCCTCTATCGTAAAGTAATGATTGTACACAGTACCTGGTCTCAATAAAGTAGCGAAGAAGTTGAACATAGACTGCGCGCCTGCTATGACAGGCTTCGACTTCAACGGCGGTTGGTCGCATCCTGTATACGACGGGTTCGTTGTTTGCGCGGAGTACGAGAAAATTATCACTGAAGCTTGGGTCCAGGTAATTAAATGAAATATTTATTTGATCAATATGGTGTGGTACATTTAGATGATTGACGAATTACGTCTTCAACGGAGGTTAATCGCACACCTTTACGAATGATTCGTTATGTGTACTGTACCCCTAGCACGAACCAATATCGAATTCGTATCGTTTGCGAGTCCGAAATGTCATTGTCAAACGTGTACTGATTTTTAGTTCTCGTTACGTATTTTTTGCCGCTGCTGTTCAAGTTTCCATACAAAATTTGACATTGACATTTCGGTTTGCAAACTATTCGAATTCGATAATGGTTCGTGCTAGGGGTACGGAATACGAAAAGATCATCGATGAAGATTGATTCCAGGTTACTTAAAAATATTTTTTTGCTTAATAGGTACTAAATACGAAAAGTTCATCCATTTCAAATTCACAAATTTTAAAGCCTTTAAAAGCGTTTTATTCTCAGACCTACTGAATATACACACAAATCATAAGAACAGTCAAACCGTTTCGGAGGAGTATTGTTTCAAAAACTGTGACACGTAAATTTGATATATGTATTCGATTTAACTTTTGTTCTTATAGGATCAAGAAGAGCAAGAACGCAAAGAACGTGAAAAGATAGATGCCAGAGTGTATGGTAACTGGCGACGACTGATAAAAGGCCTGTTGATACGTGAGCGCCTCAAACACAAATACGGTTTCGAGGAACCTAAAAAATCGAATGAGATAAGAAATGATAAGAAAAATCCTAAGGGACCTCGCCTTGTTGTGAAGAAGAAATAAATTGAAGCAACCAATTGGTACTTAGTGATAATGGTAAATAATTTAAAACCTGGTGATAATCTGTACAAAAATAATGAGATTAAGTTTGTATCAAATTATCCTGTAATTTTATTTTTAAGTTTCTTATCTTTGAATATATACACGCCTAGATACCGTATTAACTTTATGGAAGCGGCTCAAAAATATCTACTAAATATGGTAAATAAGCTCGTCGCTACACACGCAGACTTGACTGCTTTCAAACAATCTGACATTAGAATCACGCACACATTGGGCGTAAAACGAGCCGTATTCTTTGCGTGGTTTATTTGGATTTGCTCTATCTAGGTGTCTACATAATCAAAGTTTTAGTTGAATCCTATACAGTGTTTTGAGTTTTTATGCATGCTGACATCATATTTAAATCACAATTTCTTTAATATTATTAATCATTCTGTTTTACACTTACGCATTTTAGTTATAACATATAGGGTGAAATTGAAAGTTTTAATGAAACTTCGTGAGATTGTTGGGTTACGAGTATAGAGTATGCCTGATTTTTGTCGGATTTTTTTGAAGTATTTTTTTTCATGTATCTCTTATCTATTAGACAAGTCCGTCCGTCCGTCCGTGGTGCTGTTTCAGCGGCCAAACCGTAAGAGATAGATAAAGAGAATGTTTAAGTTATAAGTTAAGAATAGTCTGAGAAGACTACAAACCGGATTTGAGTAACGTAACACTTCCGGTTTTCGAGAAATAACGTGATTTCTATTTCAAACGAAACCACACAAAATCTCCGAAGTTCTCAATTAATTAAATAATTTTTTTTTTGGTGAACATTTGGTTCACTGGTTTGCTAGTTTATTTATAATTTGTGTATTTTTTTGTCCCTTCCTCCTTTTGAGTAGTTATTCATATTAAACAAACATGCTTACATATCCAGTGAAAAACAACTAATAAATAAGCACTTCTAAAAAACGGAAAAACAGTAAAATTCCACCGCGGGTCAACGACCGACCGCGCCCGCCAGCCGTTGAGTGAGTAGGTACGTACACAGAGCTCAGCTGACTCGTTTGATTCCACACAATACAATAAAATCGTCTTAGATGCCTTTATTGAAATTGAAATAATAAGCACAAATGTCATCTACTCTTAAGCAGAGAAAAACTTAAAAAGTTAATAATAATTTTGTCACGATTGGAAATAGGCAAAAGTTAAACAAAAAGAAATACTTATTGCAGTTCAATACTTGGGTCAGAATGAAATTTATTACCATGTATTCAAAAGTACTTACGAGACCGATGTACCTATTAATTTTTTTCTCTATAACTTCCCAATAAATCACCAAACCTACTTTCGTAAAGCCTTGTGGCTCTGCTGAGTATTCCGTGACACTCGCAACAACAACACACCATATCAAATTCTTATATGGAGGGCACAGAACAAGAACTAATCAAGGCATTATTTGCAAATCTTGTCTTGTCACAAATTTAAAAGATACGCACGCGCACTTGAGACTCCGCTCGCTCACTGCGCTGTGCACCGCGCATACCTAGATAGGTAGGCAGGAAGGTATTCAACGGCGGGAGCGGTCATTGCTCCCGGCCGCCCGTCTCCTGTTTTTACGTCTTTTTTAGTAGTGCTTATTACTTGTTTTTTACTTACTCTGTATGCATGTTTTAAAAGAATAATTATTTAGTACCCAAAAGGAGGAAAGGACTTAAAATATAACAAAAAAAAAACAAAATTTTATTTTAAATAATTTTTTAAAAAATCCGAAAAAATTCAGAGATACTCTATATACGTAACCCAACATTCCCACGAAGTTTCATTAAAACATTCAATTTCACCCTGTATATAAATAGCTGTCATTCATAATGTTTATATCAATTTTAACATGACATTTTAGTTTCCACTCTACCACATAATGTCCACTAATATTTTATTACAAGCCTGATGTAGTCTTAATAAACAATTTAAGAACATCGCACATTGTATCGTCACTGTTCCAACCCAACAGACGTGTTTTCAGAAAAATAAGAGCATTAATTTAAAGTAATCTCTAAATAAATCTTTAATTTAAATTTTTATAGTATCAATATAAAGCTACAGTACGCACGACATTTAGACTGCGCTTTATAAGCAAGTGGATTGCGTGTTTACATCCTACTAACTTCAAGCCTTTGAATTCAAATTTAATGGTGGCTGTGAAGTTAGCCGTAGTCCCTTTGCAGTACACGAAATGTAGGGTGGGATTACTCTGTACTGAAACCTGCACGTAGTTGCGCTCGCTGCTATAACTTCACAATTGCAAAAGTTTGGATCGCACTATACCTGTAGCGTAAATCCGAGCTGGTGCTTTGCCGAAAATATATGTTGCTCCTACAGTGTGCGTTCACCTTTATTGTCACTGGTTCGATATTGCCTTCATGATTCGAATAGATATCAACATGTGAAAAAGTGACGTTGTTCCAGCACTTCACTTGGCTATTCATTATTGCTATTTGTAGACTTGACAACACTCTGTCTTTATCATGCTTTATAAGGAATAAAAAGTACAACAGACTGATGTCTAGTTTACAAATAGCAAACACGAATAGCCAAATTAAATACTAGCATTACGGATATTTAAAATCACGGAAAAAACTATTAACGCTTTTAGCACACCGACGCCGCCGCGGCACGCTGAAACGGTAATTTGACATACACTATGAATTTATATGGTATATGTTGCATGTCACTCTATCTATTTGTGATTTCATTTAATAAGGTATTTGACAAGTTTTAGAAAACGATGTCACCTTATTCACTTATGTATATGGGGTCCATAAAAAGATATTCATCATTCTATTGTGTATTTCAGTAAAACTACTAAATGAAAAATTCTATTTTTAAGTTACCGCGCAAACGTTTCTCTGGACATGATGGCGTCTCACAGGTATGTGACGTCACACGACTGTCATTGAAACGATACAATGTAATGCCATTTTGACCGAAAGTTTCACAGGTATGTGACGTCACATGACTGTCATTGAAACGATGCAATGTAATTTCATTTTGTCTGAAAGATTACTAGCGTGTGACGTTATTTTAGTTTTCGCCAATCCTAGGCGTTTTCGGTCACGTTAACATAGGACAACAAAGTAATTTCTATTTAATTATTTCTTAGGAAAGTTATTACAGTCGGACCACGATAACTTTACAGAGTCAATAATCTGGTCACACCAGAAAAACTTGATCTGGCAGGAAAGTTAAGACGTCATTCAAAAATGTCATATATATCATGTCATGCAAGAATCTTTCGTTTGAAGAACGTGTTTTGAATTTTTTTTGTTTTTAATTCAAGAGTTTCCTCGTTTCCTCGCCAAAGTACTCAACAGATCTTCACCTAATTAAGAACCTCGTCCTTTTTAATTCGGTTAATAATAAAGTATCAGGGATAGTTAATTTATAATCAGTACTGCCACGAGCAATATTTTATTTTATGCTATTGTCAGTCCACTGCAGTCTTATCGTGGTCCGACTCTAATTTTGTGTTCTCTTGTTTAGTAAAATCACTGCTAATATTCATATTAAATACAGATGCCTACAATTAGTACTTTATTTTTCATACTGCCAAATAGCCTAATGCCATCTCTCCCGGAGGCGAAACTACAATGGCGGTACCGCTGCGTCCGTGTAAATCGAGGTTCGCCAGTAATAGCGATACAATACAGATAGAGATGAATTTATAGGAAATCACAGTCAGATAGAGCGAGATGCAGCATATGCGATATAAATTCATAGTGTACGACAAATTACAACAAATTAAGCTACCGCGTTTCGCCACGTCAGCGTGTTAATAGCGTAGGTTTCAATAGAATATCATTTAAACCTACGCTATATTGTAAATGTGCCATGTACTCAAGTGAGAGAATTAATAAATTATGTTTTTTGTAGGTATGTGCTTAATGTAGGTTACCACTCCACTATTCAACATAATTACTATTATACATAAACATAAACATCTAGCAGTTAAAAGCGTAAAAAATAAAAACATAGCTATAATTAGGTTAATATGAATAGCTTAAATAATGTTTCATGTCAATTTATACGATATCGAATAATCACATTTTGATATATCGGGTTTTGTATTACCCGCTCAAGTTAACAGGGCACCTGACTCGATAAGTGACCCCTCTCCTTTTCTACACCCTGGCAAACTTCTTGAGCATCAACCATGGCTAGTAGTAATTTTACATACAAAAACGTCTCCTGCGCAAGTAATTGTCTGTAGTTTTACTCAAGAAGTTTGCCGCTACCTACAACCACACCCTGCCGTGGTTTTTAGCGACACAGAAATAATTTTACCTCCGAATGTATTTCTTATATTAAGATAGTTTTATATTTTCACTTAAAATTAAATTATGCCGATTTTCACAAAGCTTTAGCAATTTACGTTGCTCGATAACTATTCAAGTTGTAAGTAAATGAATCTTAAAAAATCCACAGAAGGGATTCTTGAGCACTTATTTCTTTACAACTTAAATGAACCTAGTCAAAAACAAAAAAATATATTAAAACGAATGTGTTTTTTTAAAGATAGAAAATTAGCTTTCAGAATAATTTTTGACACTATTGTTGATTTTTTTTTGTTGGCTGTATCTACTTGCTGGAACTGTCATTTGAGCCAGATGCCAAGTTAACTTGACCGAGTACTACCAGCAAAAGCATGTATTATTAGGAATAGGTAGTGTTTATATAAGGTTTAAGTTTAATCACAAAGTGATATACTTACAGAATTAAAAAATCTACCTCATCAATGTTGCCGCCTCAAAAAAAAAGAAATGCATGCATTTTTTTATTTATTTTGTTTGTGTTTTTGTAATGTTTCTGAAATGTTATATTATTCCCTTATTATTCTTAACTGTCACCAAGTAAATTAGTAGTTACTTTTGAAGATGATTGTTTGTTTTAATTTTTAATTAATTCTGAAAGAATTTCTCCAGTGTTAAAAAAAACATATTACAATGCATTGTGCTTGTGAATACCATCGTAGCATGCAACCACGCTACGACGATTCGTAGCAAACTTGCTACACGGCTACGGGGTTCCAGCATGCTACGAGACTCATCGTAACGTTACCGAGCGTTACACTTTTTCGTAAGTGACTCCCAGCCGCAACCTAATTTAAGACGTTGTCACGTCAAAAACTATGTGTATTACTACATTCGGTGCTTGGGTTATATGTAGAGAAATCGTTAAAACAAATCTCTTAATACTAACTACAGTTGATAAAATGTCGGTACATAATATGAAATTGGAAATGTATCGGCACCATATCGCCAATCAGATTACTGTAGTCCACTAGCCTTTAACAGCACGTCCACTCGGCTAATGTATAGGTAACAACGCGCTTAGTCTAGGTGTCTAATGAGAAACCGTTGCAGGATTACCGTAAGACCGCAGAATCGTAGCATATGGAAATCCCTTGAGGAGGCCTTTGTCTAGCAGTGGACGTCTATCCGCTGATGATGATGACATAAATGCGTAGACGGAAAGATTAAAGGGTCTCACAGGCAGAGGCAGCCTGCAGCCGCGGCCAGCCCTTATTGATAACTCGTGTTTGTATACTCGTTTACATAGCAAGCGAATACAACTGGCCGCGTCTGTCTGTGAGACACTTTAAGTAGGTGGCTGGACGTCGAGACGTAAGTTAGGGGACGGATAATCGTAAGAGGTTACACGAAGGGACGCAGGCGGATGGATGGAGAGACGGAAGTGAATTGCACGCAACATGTAAGCAGGGTTCGCGTTCCATAGCTAGACTCTTAAAAAACGTTTTTACTTTTGCCTTCTTATTAATTAACAAAGAATAAGCTTGGATAAGTTATTCTATGTTTTGTGTCTGTTCGTTGAATTACAAATGTCAATTGTGATATGAACAAAACGCGGCGAAACTAGTCTAAGCTTATTCCTTATTGATTAATAAGGAAAGTTTCAGCCGAGTGTAGGTAGTTGGAATATATAAACCGGTTTGTAATTTGGATGCATAGTCTATACGTAGTAGTGTGAACGTTCTAATATCATGCCATTTTAATAATCTCCGCGTAGTTGACACTCCCACGAGTGTCTAACGTCCGCGCGGATTCCGCCATGTCTGAACTAGGGCTAAGAGACGTAAGCTTGTAGACGGTAAATCGTAATTGAAGGACCAATAGACGGAATGCGGTCGGTTTCCGAGGCGATACGATATGGTTCGGGTGCTGATTAGTGTGAAATATAGTGTAGAATTGCATAGAAACAAAGAATACAGAACGGCTCGAGGCGAGGTGTTGTCAATCCGTCTTTGATCCGATATAGTGTGCGTACACCCAGCCCTTAATGAATAGCTCTGCAAAAGCGCCTATTGTATTAGATCACCAACTAAAAATTGCAATTGTATTTAACAAATTTAGATTTGAGTGTGTGTGTGTGTGTGTGTACGTGCGTGCGTGCGTGCGTGCGTGCGTGCGTGCGTGCGTGGGCGGGCGGGTGGGTGGTTGTGTTAGAGAGATGTGATTGTGATATCATAATTTTTAGTTGACTACATTTTAGAATTTGAATAACCGCGTCCTGACTTGGCCAGCAGCCTCGCAAGGCAGACGCGTGAGACAATCTTCGGTCGGTCCGGATGTACCCCGCCCGAGGCAAATGCACGAGCTGCCTCACTTCGTTTGCCACGCGCACTGACGGTTTTATTTAAAACGACAGAATCGTTTGTATCAGTTTTAAATAACAATGTCTCAATTTAATACAATTTTATGGCAAATGTAATGTACTACTTTGTACGCACAATGTTCTGATTATACTAATAGAGGACTAAGACAAGAAGCGTAGAAAGTCATTTTTGTTTAAGTCGAAGAATGAATATAAAAGGCAGTAAACGCGATAACTCTTCGAACGAAAGGCCTGATGTCGGTCTTGAGTAAAGCTGATTACAAGCCGCGTTAGGCACTCGCAGTCCCTGCATACTGCATCGGCCTCATGCCTCGAAAGAGACCGAAGCGGCGGCCTTGCGAGGCTGCTCGCTCAGTCAGGACGCGGCTAACAGCATATTTTTTTCTAATAATTTAAATGGTTATAAAAGTTGATGATTTTTTAAATGGATGCCTATATTGAAATTTGTGAACCTGTGTATTCCGACCAAAAACAACTTAATTTTATATAATATGGAGTTAGAAGGCGTGGCTTCCAATGAAATTTAATATTCATTCTTTATAAGATTTATGCATAATTACGTTTTTTTACCTTATTATGTTGGTTTATAAATAAAACATGTTGTGTTACATTATTATTGGCACTTTCAATATTTTATTCCTCCAGTTATGATTTATATTCGTTTTTTGTCTTTTATTGAGGTCATGAATAAAAAACAAATATTTAAATAAAAAATGTATTTAATACAAATGATAACTTAATATATTGTCCATTTTTATATGCATTAAGCTGTCTTATTGTGAACATAATAATATAAAATTATTTAAAGTGCATGTTACATAGCAAAAGCTCAAAAGCATATAATAGTTAGGAATTGCTCAAGCACAGCTTTTTGTGCCTAAGCGAATAGATACAAAATTATATACAGAAATAAAAATATGTATAGACGCTTCAGACCTTTAGAGTAAGATCTGGTCGGTCGAAACGATTGCAATTATTTGCAATCTTATCCACATATACAGGATAGTTTCGATTTACCTTCAAAAACCCGATATTGAAGGTTCATCACAATGCCATTGTTTAATTTTTCTTACGATGTCTCGATTTTTTTTACTTTTTCTAGATTTTCAACAAGTTTCCATACGTCTTACATTACATAACTACATTAAGTCTATTCATCTTAAGTACCTACTATAATATTTTATGACGAATCTATAAACTAAGGGCCCAGACACATTCATCCCAATTTGTACATATATGAAAGGAATGTAACCTTTAATTTATATTTTCATAGCATAAAATATTTGCACTCATAAACTTATTATCTGCTATTATATTAGTCTCATTGGATAAATATCAACCATTATTAAAGCCAGTTTAATAAATGGTATGATCAACAGACTGGTAGCATATGTCAATAGATTAAATTCCTTTCAAGCTACCATTAATGCTATTTTATTTAGTTCCTATAAAGACCTGCTTCATAGTAATTAGTTTAAGCCATGGTTAATGTGCCTGCGCCCATTCCGAATCCTACACCCTTGGGTCCGAAGTTCCTGCCGTAGCAGCCTCGGCAGTAAATTTCACCGTTGGGGCCGTCATTCAAGTTGGTGGAATCCTGGAACCAAAGTATCAATCAGATATATACAGAAATAGGCAAATTATGATCTTAATACCTACTAATTATTCTGAATTTAGTTGTCAAGTCAGTCAAGTTATAGTTATACAATAGAATGCGTCACACCGACATTCTTATACTGTTGAAACAATCTGCGTTTTGGACAAATCGTTTATTCATTATAAGAATCAGGAGTGTAACATAATATTTAATATAATCACATTTTCGGTAAGAGCGTAACATTGCAAGCACAGTACAACGAGAAGAGAGCAACCAGAGACTTTTATTTTTAATAATAGCTATGACATAATAGTTTATAGCATTGGCTTACAGTATTGATACTTATCATATCCAACACTCCCTCTCAATTTCAAATTTACTACAAAATTTTAAATTGCACTTACACAAAGTATGAAATTATAACTTTACTAAGATTGTTTTACACAATGTTCTACAAATTCTTTTACATATCGTTATCATAAGTTTACATAATATATCAAATCAGAATTATGTTAATTATACATTTTTATTACCACGTTATACAATAAAAACTTTTACAAATTTGTTGAATTTTTCTTTACACAAACCTTTTGTTAATAAATCAGCAATATTATTTTCAGTACTTACATAATTAATTTTTATAATATTTTTCCTCACAAGATCTTTAATATAATGGAATTTAATATCAATGTGTTTTGTTCGTTTAGAGTTCTCATTACACTTTGCCATCATTATTGCACCTTGATTGTCCACTAAAAGCACTGAATTTACACTGTCATTAAAATTTTCACAAATACCTTTTAAATTTACTAATTCTTGGGCTGATGTTGCAGCAGCTATATATTCAGATTCTGCTGACGAAAGCGAAACACATTTTTGCTTCTTTGAAAACCATTGGACAGGATTTCCTTTATAAAATATTATTCCACCACTTACACTTTTTCTATCTATCTTATCTGCCCCCCAATCTGCATCTGAGTAAGCAATTAAATCATTTTCTTGACTTTTCTTAAACAGTAGTCCTCTGTATTTAGTATCTTTTATGTATCTCAATATTCTTTTTCCTGCTTTCCATGTCTGTTCAGTGGGTTTTTCTATAAAACGACTTAAATATGACACTGCATATGTAAGATCTGGTCTTGATGTCATTGTAATGTATATCAAGCTTCCCATCAATTCTCTGTAAGGCAAGTCTTTTCTTTCTTCTTCATTTTTTATGTCTAAGTTTGATTCTATTGGTGTACTTATACCTTTGCACTCTGTCATTCCAAATTTGTTTAAAATCTTCTCTATTAATTTAGTTTGCTTTATAATTAGTTTATCTTCTTCTCTATAAATTTCCATACCCAAAAAGTTCTTTATTTCTCCTAAGTCTTTAGCATTAAAATGTTTCTGTAATGAATTTACTATATCTTTTGTGTCTCCAATTAAAATAATATCGTCTACATAAATTATCATCCAGCAATTATTCTTATAATATAAGCAATAATCATAATTTGATTGTTTAAATCCATTTTCTTTTGCAAATTTATCTATAGTATCATTCCAACACTTTGGTGATTCTATCAAACCATATAATGCACGCTTCAATTTTAATACTGTGTTAATTTTATTTGAACATTCTAAACCTTGAGGAACATTAATATAAACTTCTGAATTTAACTTTCCATTCAAAAAAGCAGTAGGTATATCTAACTGTCTTATTTCTAAATCTTCTTGAATTGCTTTAGATAACATCATTCTTACTGTCGATAGTCTAGCTACCGGTGCATACATTATTTCAAAATTATTATTTTGTTTTATCTGATACCCTTTGGCAACTAATCTAGCTTTTTTAGTTCCGTCTTCTTTTACTTTGAATACCCATTTTGTATCCACTATTTTTGTATTTTTAGGTTTATTTACTTCTTCCCATGTATCTAAGTCATTTAATGCTTTCAACTCTTTATTAATTGCATTTCTCCATTCCATATCCTTTGTCGCTTCCTCATATTCTATAGATTCTTCTCCTGAAATCATACAATAAGCAACATAAGTCTCATAATCATTTAATTTATTTGGTTTTCTTATTTTTCTTCCATATTTAGATATTTTATCATTCATTTCATTTGTAATTTCTTTGTTTTCATTATCTATGTCTTCAATCATTTCATTTTCTTTATCTTCATTTGTATATACTTGTGTATTTTCTTGTATTACTTTTATGCCATCTGAGATTTCTTTTATTTCTCCCTCTGAATTATTACTGTTTTTATCTTCCAAATATACATATTTACTTTCATCGAATATTACATCTCTTGATCGTATTAATTTATTTTCATTTGAACACCACAATCTGTATCCTCCTAGATCATATCCTACAAATATATATGATTGTGCATTTGGATCTAATTTGCTTGTTCTTTTCAAATTTACTGCCCAACATTTACTACCAAACACTCTGAGTCTTGATAAGTCATTTTTACCATACCAAATATCTGATGGTGTTTTTCCATTCAATGCAACTGTTGGAGATCTATTCAACTCATAAGCTGAAGCTTTTATTGCTTCGCCCCATAAAAATTTTGGTAATTTTGTATCCAAAAACTTTGTTCTAACTTTATTCATTAAAGTTTTGTTCATCCGCTCAGATTTTCCGTTTTGCTGCGGAGTATATGCCATAGTATATTGTAATTCAATTCCTCTATTTTTACAATAATTTTTAAATCGATCTGAACTAAATTCTCCACCATTGTCTGTTCTTATGGCTTTTGTTCTAACGTTAAATGTACTTTTTAATTCTTTTATGTAATATATTAAGTTTAACTCAGCTTCACTTTTCCTTTTTAATAAATAGACTTGAGTAAAATGCGAATAGTCATCAATGATTACCTGAAAATATCTATACCCTGCTGGTGTTTCATCTTTTATAGGTCCTGATATGTCTGTATGTAATAACTCACCAATTCTTTTACTTGTATTATAATTATTGTCGAATGGTAATCGGCATGCTTTTCCTTCTATACATGTTTCACATTTTTCCTTACTAACTGGTAGGCCAAGTATCTTCATACTATTTCTATTTAAGTGACCTAGTCGCTGATGCCAAGTATTCGCTGTAATTGCTTGGTTCACATGAACAGTTTCTATATCAACTTGTAGTGTATATAATTTGTTTACTTGAGGTGCTTGAAATCTTATTCCTTTATAATTACTATATAGTATTATGCCTCTTTTATTTATTTTAATTTCAAAACCTTTGTTTATTATTTTTGATACTGATAATAAGTTAAATTTCAATTCTTCAACAATCAATCCACCTTCAATGTTTATCTCTATTCCATCTATTTTAACTAATAAGTCACCAACTTTATATGCCAACATGCACTTGCTGTTTGCAACAACTATTTTTATAGGTTTCTCTAAAACTTTTATGTTTGTCATATATGTCTCTAAATCATTTTTTATTAAGTGTTCTGTAGCTCCAGTATCTAATATAAACTTTTCTTTTTCTGTATTAATGTCTGTATTCAATGCAACAAATGTGAGAAAACTTCCTTTATTTATTTCATTATTAGTATTTGGTTCTCTATTATTTACTCTGTAATTTCTTCCTTTATAATTTCCTCTAAATTTTCCACGCTGTATGTTAAAATTGTTAGTATTACTCCTGCACTCGTTTGCCTTGTGACCTTTTTTATTACATTTGTAACAGATTATAGCTTTAAATGCAACTGATCTTGTCTCTTCTTTAATTTCATTTTTGTTATTGCACAATTTCAACTCTTCATCAAGTAATCTAGCTTTTACAAATTCAAGTGTAATGGTTTCGGTAATGGTCTCTATGGCTGTAATTACTGTATTGAATTTCTCTGGTAAACCAATCATCAAATAACAAATTTTGTCTTCTAATGCTATCTGTGTGTCAAGCGATTCTAGCTCACGTGTCAAGTTATCATATCTCTGAAAATAATCTTCTAGTTTTTCTGTGTCGGCCATTTTTAATGTTAAAAGTTGCCGTCGTAATCGTAATTTAGACAATACACTTTTTCTTTGAAAAATCCTTGATAATGTTTCCAACATATCTTTCGCTGTTTTGCAGTCTTTTATTATGTTTAAGTATTTATCGGATGTACACTGCACTATAATTAACTTTGCCTTGGCGTCATTTTTGTTATAATTTTCCAATTGTTCTTTAGTCAATTTACTACAATCAGTGTCTAAATCGCTTACTTGTCTTTCGTTCAATAAACATTTTAGTCTAAACATCCAATTATCGAAATTATCTGCCTTCAATTGCGGATATTCGAAGTGGCTTGAGGACGCCATTGTATTCCAATATGACACACTTTATTATCATGAATATATGTTACTACTCACGGATTCCGCTGGGCCCATAACCTGTTGAAACAATCTGCGTTTTGGACAAATCGTTTATTCATTATAAGAATCAGGAGTGTAACATAATATTTAATATAATCACATTTTCGGTAAGAGCGTAACATTGCAAGCACAGTACAACGAGAAGAGAGCAACCAGAGACTTTTATTTTTAATAATAGCTATGACATAATAGTTTATAGCATTGGCTTACAGTATTGATACTTATCATATCCAACATATACCTCGTTTAGACTATGCCCATGCCTTTGCCCCTCGCGTTGCCGGCAATAATTCCCTAAATATTGCTGCGGCATGATTGAGAGAAGTATGTGTTTACATACCTACTGCCCTACCTCTCACTTCGCTTCAGTTCCGGCAATGGCAGACGACGAAGTAATAACAGCGGCCGCGCTGTGTCTCTTTGCAATCCATAATTATGTTCGAAATTGAATAATTAATAATTTTAATGTAATTAAATTATTAATTAATATTTAATTATTTAACAATTTCTAATTTGACGTCTTTCTGACTTTCTCCACCAAGCGCGTGGCGCGAACTAGCCGCGCAGAGTGTGAACACGCATTGCCACTTGCGCTGCCGGTCCTTTGACTTCCGCACAAAAAACCGCTCTTTTGGGGAGCGCCGGGCAACGCGAGTGGCAATGGCAGTGGCATGACGATTATCGTGTTTACATATTCGTCAATCGTCATGCCCACTTCCTTCCTTCCAGAGTGCACTCAGATTCAGATTCAGATTCCGAAAACAAAAGTGCGAGAAATAAACAGTGTAGTCGAAGGGCACTCTGGCCTCACCCTTACTCGCGCTGCATGTAAACAAGGTATAATAAGAATAAAGATTAATAAAACGTAAGACTAGGCTGTATGAGCAGTATTCCCTTTACCCTTCCTGAAAAATGAGAATATTAAAAAAAAATATTTTCTGACAGAGTGACAGACTAAAGAAACTTGTAAATGAGCAGAAAATCGAAATGTTTTCTTTTACAATATTTATTTTACTGGTGGTCTCCACAGTATTTGAAACGACAGCAGAGTTTTCAACTGAAGATTGCGCTTCTTTAGGTTTTATCAAAGCCAATTTGTTGTGTTCATCTTGCGACCAACTAAAAGACTTTAGTTTGGATGAATTGATTACACATTGCAAAGAATGTTGTCACAACGACAAAAGTGCGCCTAAAGAAAAGAAGTATGCACGCGCTATTCTAGAAGTTTGCACTTGCAAATTCCCTGCATATCCACAAATTCAAGCCTTTGTTAAAAGTGACAGACCAGCTAAGTTTCCTAACCTTCAAATCAAGTATGTGCGGGGCTTGGATCCAGTCATAAAACTACTAGATAAGGACGGCATCGTTAAAGACACTGTGGCAATTGAAAAATGGAATACTGACTCTGTAGAAGAATTCTTAAATACTCATCTAGAGAAAGAAGAAGAGGATGATCGCCATTATTTAAAAACTAATCACATTTAGTATTTAATTAAAATTGTTTCAAAATAAGTGACTAATTATGTTTACTTTTATTTTTTGTATCATTAGCACCACTTAGTTCAGATACTGTTCTCAATAATATCATTTACTAAAATGAATTGTTTACAGATTTACTTTTAGTCAAATATATGTAACTCATGATTATGGAAGAGGAATAAAAACAAGCAGTTAATTTTATTACATTTACAATGATTGTTTAATCTACTGTAGTAGTTAATTAATGAGTATTAACAGTTACTGCTTCAAAATTATAGAAACTAGATATTTTATCATACTTAGGCATTGGCATGTTCACTTTACTGAAGTTGTTAACTAATAGTTTTTTATATCATAATATGTCCAGTCCACTCCTTGCAGATCTATAGCATAATTGAGCATTGTTAAGAAGCTACCAGGGGGTGCATTTTTGAAGCAAGCATAAGTTTTTTCTACAAATGTGTTAAACTTTGATTCTGTTTGATCCCATAAAAGACCATTGGTTGCTTTCTGCTTTCATAATCATACTTTAACATCGGTCCACAGAAATTTTTGCTAGCTTCAAAAATTCCCACTGGTTGCTTCCTGATGAACAACACTCAATGAAATTACTAATGTTAATTTACAATATGAGCAAATAAGCTGATGGCTGACCTAATGATTAGTGGCCTCTATAGCCTATAATCGCTTTCTAACTATTGCAGCCATTTGCAATACTAAATTAACAATTTATCCATTGCCTACCCCAATCCCATCCCCTACTGTCGGGCCAAAGAGTAATTATAAAACCTTTGTATATTTTCTTCTATAAGTTAATTATATCCATAAATAAATTTATCTAAATAGATAGATGGGCTATTTGGAAATCATTTTTTCATAATATTGAGTAATAAACTTACAAGAGATCTGTGGCAGTCCGCACATGAGAAGCACCGTCTGTGCCATGTGCCATTCTTGGAGTGCATTTGTTCAGCAGCATATACTGGGAAACCACAACGAGGGCAGCCCTTTCCTTTAGCAGCCTTCTGTCCAGTGAATGGTAACTGTTCAGTACTGGAAATAATAATTGGCTTATTAGTTGAATATATAAGAATATGCATATTATAATTATTATTGGAGTTTGGTGTTGAATGAAACTGCCAACAATGTTGTACTTACTAAGTAACAGTGGGTTCGGAGTCGCAAGACACAAGGGTGGGGGTGTGGCCGTATCCGAATCCCTTGGGCCCGAAGAGCTTAGCGTAGCAAGCGCGGCAGTGAATCTCCTTGTCGGGTCCATCACACGCTAGCATAGAATCCAAGGGCCGATGGCATTCGGCACAGTTGAAGCATTTCTTGTGCCACATCTGGAAAAAAATAAGGAAATATAGTAAATTTCAAGTATAAAACACTTTTATTAGTAGTATATGTAGAAGATAGCACGCTTCAATACGCAATGTGTTTCTTAGCATATGCGTGATGGGATGCACATGAAACGTCTGTCATGTGTGCAAAGAACAAGAAGTATGTAAGTGAATAATTTATAATTAAACTAAGTTGTAAAACATTACTTACTGTTCCCTTAGCCAGCTGTTGTTCCGCCGCAAAGACCATTCCACCGCATCGGGGGCATCCCTGACCTTTGGGCGCCTTGATCGATGTGGTGTCCGGATTGTAGAAAGGACGGTTAGCCGAAATTTCATCCTCGCTAAAACAAAGTAAGTATATTTACATTCAGGGTCAGAAATCTATAAACTAAGCTATATTTCATTGGATACTTATATTCAATAAGAAATATTAGTGGGTACTTACGTCAAACCGTCGGTCTGAAGGAAACCAGATCCGCAAGCGAATCCGTAACCGTGCGGTCCCCATTTCTTTCCGTAGCAAGTCTTGCAGTAAACTTCAGAGTCTGGCCCATCGCAAGCTATGATGGAATCCAAGGTCTTAGTGCAATCACGGCACTTGAAGCACTTGCGATGCCATTCGCGACCTTTGGCCAAGACTTGTTCAGCAGCGAACACAACACCGCCACATCTTGGGCAACCTTTGCCAGGTGGTGCCTGAATGGCCGCTGTGTCGATTACGGTAGTTTTTGGAGCCTGATCACTGCAAAATAATTAAGGCAACTAAGTTCAGATGCCATTTATTATAACAGTGTTAGTTATGTTCAAATTACATAATAAATAAATAATATATGATGAATGGTAGGTACCTATTACTGATGATATGACACGCAAATACCTGAACTAATCAGGAGTTTAAAAACATTACTGAACAATTTAAATTAATAAACTAGGTTCAATGGAACTTTATAACCGACATCAAGAAGGGGAGAGGTTCTTACGCATAACTCCGAAATTGCTGGACATATTTTGATTATCTTTTTTCATCTGAAAAAAATTTTCTTTCTTTCGTCCCAAAAAATTATATTTTAATATATTGTAGTGTATGTATATACCTAAATGTAAAAGCAGTGTGCGTAGCTAGCTGTACCTTCATGATGATAGTATCTCTTATCACGGTAGATGGGTCTATCACAAATTACATCAAAACTCGCATGGCTAGCCGCACGAATATTAAAATTAGTTCATCCAAGAGCGGAGAGCGCGTTCTATTTTCACATTGGCATTTTGCCATATCTTGTTTGTAGTATAAGCTGTTTTTATGAAAGTGACTATGCGATGGAAATAACCTGAACCTGTAACTGTAACTTGAGAAGTTGTACGTAACATTTTTCCCATAGGTATTCTAAAAAATTTAGTAATGAGGGTTATGTAATGGGTGGGTTACTATAATATATAAATAAAAACACGAAAACTGTTTGCTAAAGCATCTAGAAGCAAATATAGTGTTAGAATAATTAGTCACCGTAATAAGCAGTCCTATAGACTGCATCCTTTTGGGTTTTACCAGGACACACCATTAAATATACCTTTGCCATTCCATGTCCTTTACATCACACATAAGTCCCAGGGATGACATCCCCCCATGGCCAATACCCCTAGGGCCAAATCTTTGAGCGTAGCATCCTACAGCAAAAGCAAATAAGCATTATTACTTTATATATCTGAAGAGCACACAGCATTTGTTTAGGGATGTATTTATAAATTTCAAGTGCAACATAAAGCTGTGCCCTCGCCAGATATGTAAGTTAGTTCCTCCTATTTCAGCATCTCTTACCCGTTGGCGTAAGGGTCACTTTGTAGGACTCCTGCACCCTTTCCGTAACCGTAACCCTTGGGGCCAAACTTCTTTCCATAACACACTAAAGAAAAAACGGAATATTAAAAACTAGTTTGTCAAACAGGGGCATGAAAGAATAAAGTGAAAAATGTCTCATCAAGTCCATTAGTGATTTTAGACGTAAATTAAATAATGGGGACAAACCTTTGCAGTAAATGTCTTTGTCAGAGCCTTCGCAACAGTTCGTAGAATCCAGACGTTTGTGGCATTCGCCGCACTTGAAACACTCCCTGTGCCACGCCTGGACATATAGGGAAACATTGAGGATCATCACACATGCCAGGAAGGGTATGCTAACCTATAGGTGCAGGCTGTTAAAACCATTGTGGCTGTGATGTTATTGCAAAAAAACATTGTGTCTGTGATTCAATCTTTGGGGAACATTTAGGTACCTCGACAATAAATCTCGCTATCTGGCCCGTCACAATGTAAAGTAGAATCAAGAGTCCTGTTGCAATTTAAGCATTTGAAGCATCGCCTGTGATAACCCTAGGGCACAAGAAGGAAACCATTAACAAAAGTAATGTGAGTGTTTCCTTGGGTACCTGAAGAATCACATTGTTGTTTTCAGACAAGAAAACAAAATCTCTTATAATGAATCGAAAACTGCTACTATAAACTAGTATTCTTAAAAGCATGGATGTTCAAGATGTGTTTAATGGTTGGAGTGGAGATCAAGCAACTCACCCTTCCGCGAGCCAACATTTGCTCAGCGGCGTAAACGCAGCCGCCGCAACGCGGACATCCCTGGCCAGGCGGAGCCTTAGCGATGACACGAGGCTCCAGGCATGCGCCATTGGTCCTCACATCCCTGTGCATACAATTTATGTTAGACGTTGCACAATTAGTGGTCGGTTGAGCAACGTTGACGGAAGAGTAGTTAGAAGCCTTCAGGCGTTGGAGCATTCCGACCACTTCTATACTAACAACGGCGAAGCAGTTGCTGCCGGCGGCGCACCTCCGCCGTAATGGGAGAAGGTAAGGGCTCCCGGCCGCCCGCTCCGCACCGGCCTCGCTATTGCACTACAGGTATGGACACAGAGGGCGCTTTCCTTATCCCATCACATTTAACTAACGGTTACTGCTAAGACAAAAGCGTTAAGGTTTGTTAGAAGAGTATAAGTAGCGTAGAAAGTTATGAAACACGAGGTATATATCTGCGCATGCTTCTAGGTGCGTTCGGAGCGTAAGCCGTGCTAAGGCTTGACAGATTGTATTCTCACCGTTGCTCCATAGTGTTTGGGTCGCCCCGGTCGGAAGGGAGGGAAGGTCTGAGACGGACGGAGCGCGCTCGAGGCGACGCGGGCCCTTGGTCGCACCAATGGGCCTGCGTTGATCTCGACCATGCTCCGATTCGTTAACACAACTAACACGGGATTTGGTAGTCGACTCTTTTATTGGATTTTGTATAAATTATAAATAATGTTCCGATTAACAAAATAAATTAAGCGATAGCGAATAAATAAGTAATCCTAAGTATAATAAAAGTACAGAATGGCGTGCGTTCGCGAGGCACCGCTGGTTGGCCGAGATGCGTGTCGGCGACCCGCTAGCTCTGCTGGACGGCAGCCGCTCGCTCAATTCCTGTTGCGACATAAACGGAGACTGATCATGCACGTGTCAGGCGGCGCATAATGTACAGCCGAGCGCGCACTTTCTACTAGTATGAGTATTTTATATACACGCGGTTAATTTTTGTTACGTACGGGCCAAGAGGCCGGCCGGCTGTGCGACCTCAGATAAGGAAAGACCCTCAGTGGCGCGGGCGGCGGGAGAACTATGAGGGCTGCTACTTACGCATTCTCAGCCTTGAGGTGATCGCCGGCGTCCATGGATAGGCAACCAGCGCCACCGCCGAAGCCGTATCCTTTGGGACCGAACTTGCGCGCGTGGCACACTTTGCAGTATAGTTCACCTTCATGTTCTGAGCAGTTGGTAGAGTCCAGCAACTTCTGGCACAGTCCTGAGTAAAAAAATAAAAATTTATATTGTAACTGTTTCGGTAATAAGCTACAAGTAGGATAACGAAAAACAAATCTCAATAAGGCCGTATTGTATGGTACAAGTTTGATACATAGTTTATTTTATTGATGTTAGTATTTAGATGTGATGATGTGATAAGTACCTCTGTTATATTTTATATAAGTCAATTCCACGTTTTTTTTATGTTAATAGGGTCGTAAATAACTGTATGGCCCGCCTGATGGTAAGCGCCCACCATATAAGCATATAGACCTATAGACGATTGCAATATTAAAAATATCACTCACGCCGTTGCCTACCCTGATCCAATCCCTAAACCCGTGTAGCCCTAGCACCTTACTGATCTACAGAAACACAACACTACCAAAAGTAGTGTTCTTTACTGTAATCTTCTGTAAGGTGCAGGTTACTTCCCCAGACGGTTGTTTCAATTCGAGCGGAAAATCCGCTATGCCCTACCTCTCTTAAAACGTCAAATATGTAAAATTTTCGCGTATAGTCAAATTTAACTATGTATCATTGCCTGATACATACTTAGATGTGACTATAGATATAATACTATTCAAAAATAAACATTTGTCAAAATTTTACACATTTTACTATATAATTGACGTGACATTGACCATAATATATAATTAGTCCAATTTAACTATGTATCAAACAATGGGGACTAAAAGTTTACATAAGTCGTATTGAATTTGTTTTCATTTGGATTGGATTTATGTCAGTAGGTCGTTCACGTGTTTAAAGAAAATATATAAATTACATGTTTACGGAAAATATAATACATTGACTTTGGAATCCAGTTTTCGGAAACACAATCCTTAAAGTTTCAGCAGCAGCTTTATATTGAAAATAAGTTTGAATGATTATTGAGGTAGCAAACATCGGTAAATTAGTTTCAATAACCGAAGTATGAAAGAGAATCTCATATTATTTCAATTATTTCTATATAAAGTTACTTCCTTCGCCATAATAAGTATTTATGCTGTGAACCGCATTACGAGGCTATATCGAGCGATGTTTCTAGCAAAATGTTGCGCCTTATTACAATATTGACGTACAAGCCAAAAAAACGCGCGAAAAATTTCTTTATATTCCTCATTTTGCATATTATAAGTAATAATCCACTCTGTATTTTTTTTGTTACGCGACCTGTTTTAATAAAATATTATATCTATATATATTAATTTCCGCGGACACTTATAATTTAAAATTGGAGGTTGTTAAGGTCGTTTTATAGTGTTTACATATTTTTTTAAATTCCTTTTTAGTCAGCGCGTTAAACTTATATATAAATCCAAAAATATTATTTACCTCTTTTCCTTATTTATTACTTATTTAAGTAAGAATGAAAGCTAAACTTTTACTTGTTTTCCAATTTATGAATTTGAATATCAACAAAATACTAACCGCATTTGAAGCACATCTTGTGCCACTTCAATCCACCGGCTACTCTTTCTTCGGCTGCGTATACGGACTTGCCGCATTTCGGACATTTGGGGTTATCTGCTGGTTTGAAAGGCATTGTGCTCGCTTAACTTATCCTGTAAATAAAAAGAATTACCAATTGAAATGCTACGTCCACTTGATGATGACACTAGTTGTAACAAGGTTACAACGGCGCAGGCGACTTGTGAATTGGCACTGGGCTAACTCAATTGAAAATTCCGATCATATTTATAAGTATTATCCAGTATCATCCACTGATATCCACAGCAGACTCGAAAAAATTTAGGTCAATAACTGCGATAGAATCACTGTTATAAAATCACATAATCTCGTTCACCACGACAGATAACGTGCGAAAACATCGAATTTGTTGTCAGAATTTGTTCTACATAATGCTTGATTCATTGGCCGAAATCCAAGTCGCCTGCACCACTTCAACTGCATATGAACTGACACTTTATTGCTCAACAGTCACAAGGAGTACCGAACAAAATGTTAGCAACGCTGACTTCCTCCAAATGCGAGCGGTTCGGGTAAAGTATGCGACGGTTGTGAGGAAGGGCGGGCAGCGCGTGAGAGCTGCGCATACGCGCCAAATTTGGGGCGTTCAGGTAAAGTTACGCCGCTGGAGCGAGATTGCACCGCTAATAATAGTTCACATGTGGAGGAAGCCGCGAAATCACTCCCGGTTATGTTATGTTACAACAACTGTGTCGTCACTTTCCGAGGGCACGGACCTGTTCGTCGATTCGCTACGAGAGTCGAGCTCCCGGACGCGTGTACAGTGCAGGGCTGAGTTGCCTAGACTGTGATGCGCGGAGGTCGAATGGTGCGCGAGGGCAGCGAGCCACCGTAGTCTATGCGCGGATTGCACACGGCCCCAGTAGGGGGGAGCTCGTGCCGCCGCCCTCGCGACCACCCCCGAATACTTACTCCCTACAAAAGCTAATATCCTTACTCTTTTTCCTGTTTCTTTGTATCATGAAAGCTAGTCCGTCTAAAACACAGGTTTATCAAAAAAAGCTGTTACGATTATGAAAAACATTACCAAAGTACAAATATTTGTTACTAGCTAAAGACGGAAGAAAGATTATAAAACTTCAATAAATCAAAGTAAAGGTCAGTTACGAATGCCTTTATATGACTGCGGCGCCCCTCGCAGTCCGCCCCGGGCCATGTCCCTCTTAGCTCTTGGGTAAATAGGCCCTTGAATACGTATCGGAAGTGTCTTTCGAACACCAGTGCAGTGGATAGCGCATTGCCTACAATCGTGTTAGTCGCTTAGACTTCCGTAATGGCCAACATTTAGTCCTTTGATTTATTATACTTTGAATCCAGGAAAACTACAACCCCCTGTCGAAAAATTGTGAAAGCAAAGTTGTGGGTAATTAAAAGACCAACAACATTGGTATTTACATATTTTAACACATGCAAAAAATCTAAATAACCGACTTTTTGGTCTTTTATTTTTACCTCCCACAAATGAACTTTTTTCTTCGGGAAATTTTGTTAAAATTACCTTTTTACATCCGAAACACGCTCAAATGTTTTCGATTTATCGATTTTTCCCCTTAATTTTAATATGACATCGAAAAGCGAACCTTATTTTTACCCGACTGCCAAAGAGGGAGGGTAATGTTGAGGGAGTGTATGTAAGTATGTATGTATGTCTGTTCCTTTGTGACCTCCTGTAGCCTAAACGGCTTGATGGATTTTGATGTATGAGGTATCGTTAGATTTGTCTTGATTACGGGAGTGTCATAGGATACATTTTATCCTAAAAGTCCCACGGGATAAAGACATAATAATATTTTTTCTAAATTTCCCTTTAAAAAAATATGTATGCGGTATCATTAGATTCATTTTTAGACTGTCTTAAGGTACTTAATAATTCCCGCGATATTAATTCCCTTACTGAAGTAACAAGACTACGGTATATACCGTCTTAAAATACTAACTAACTAAAAAGTGTGAAATAAAAAAGGTAAATTTAAAAAATCAAAAAACCCGACTGCTTAATTATACTTCAAATAAAAACTGAAAAGAAAAAAACAAGTCCAGTAGTCTATAATTCTGTTAATAAGGAACAAAGCTACTTTAACAGTCGGGACCCACTGTTGAAAAATATTATGTATTCTTGAATATCTAATGGGTCCCGACTGTTAAAGTAGCTTTGTTCCTTATTAACAGAATTATAGACTACTGGACTTGTTTTTTTCTTTTCAGTTTTTATTTGAAGTATAATTAAGCAGTCGGGTTTTTTGATTTTTTAAATTTACCTTTTTTCAATTGAAAAATCTCATGCCAATGAGTTGCTTTAAAAAAAAGTTTGTGGTTGGTTGGGGTTTAAAATGCGTCATCCGATTCTCGTCTTTGCATTTTCTGACAAAAAAGTCCATAGTAATGTATATTTTTTGTAAATATACTTACTAGGGTTTTCGCTTAACTGACTTTTTTAATACCCGTGTATCGGATATTTTTTTTTCATGTACCTGAGTTACCCGGGTATACGAGTATTTGTAAGTTTTTGCAAAAAAACGAGTCAATTTTAGTACAAGGTCGAAAAAAACTAGGCTTGAACTTTATTCAGAATCAGATTAAGAAGACGATGCCGATGGCACTTTTTTCGCACGTAACGTACGTACGTACGTTTTCTGTGTTTCGATCTTTATTTTTATGTACTTTATCGATATAACGTACCATAATCAGTAATGCAATGTTAGGATAATGGCATCCCGATCGTGGCTCTATACCTAGATATATTCAAATCTTTTAATTTTGTTGACCATAAAATACTATGTGAAAAGCTCTTTAAGTATGGAATAAGAGGCACAGCGCATGATTGAATTAATAGTTACTTACAAAACAGATACCAATGTATACAAGTAACTAAAACGTGTAGGTGCCAAAATAATACATAAAGAAAAACAGAATTTAATTACAATATAAGATTAATAGTTCTGGAGTACCTCTGGGAACACTAATCGGTCCTTTATTATTTAAGACTTTAAGTCTTTTGAAGGTAGCTCGACAAAGTAAATAAAATCATAAATCACACGACGCACCCTGTAAACATCCCTATGCGAAACGTTAATAAATAAATAAATCTGTGCATCTATACCATTGAAACAATTTTATTTAATGAGTAGTGGGCGTGAAATCCTAAAAAACAAATACGATCCTATAGTGTTCATACTCTACATAAATGACTTGCCGACTGCGACTCATTATGAATCAATACTATTTGCGTATGATACGACGGTTCTAGTCCAAGTTTCCAAAAAGGATACGGACCTTATTGTAAAAGAATGTGAAGACGAAATAAATATGTCGTTGAATAAAATTATTAAATGGATGAAGCTTGACTAAAAAGATGCAATTTGGTTTTACCAGATAATGTAATTACCTCTTAGTATTAAACTAGCAAACCAGTGAACCAAATGTTCACAAAAAAAAATGTATTTAATTCATTGAGAACTTCGGAGATTTTGTGTGGTTTCGTTTAAAATAGAAATCACGTGATTTCTCGAAAACCGGAAGTGCTACGTTACTCACGTCCGGTTTGTAGTCTTATCAGACTATTCTTGATAATGAAGAACAAAATTTCAAATTTAAGCTATAATTTTGTTTCTTTTTTTATTTCTTTTAAGAATGTAACTGCTCGATGTTTAAATCTAAAGAAAATATTACTAGAAAAAATTACACGCGAACCTGGCAGTAGACGGGTTTTTTTTCAAATTCAAGTATTTATTCACCTAACTTGTTTGTTAAACAAGAGTGCAAAGATTTTGCTTTTTAACCGCGTGCTCAATTTTAATGATGAGCTAGCGAAGGATGGCTAAATGCAAAAAAAAGCATTTACAATCACAAGACACTTGTATTTCAGTTTAGGTATTAACTACTACATTATGATAGGTAAGTATTACAGTATAATCTTTAAATTATAACAAATAATACTTAGGTACTTAAAAATCGAAAGTTACCTTGCTACAGTTACTTACTCAAGTTGAGTGTAATATTTTTGTAAGGTACTGTAATGTTGTTGTTAGTGACTTGTGTATACTGGTTCTTGGTAAACTATCTGTTATACTTAATAGTTGTACCGATTCATCGGATTCCCTTGTAAATGTTGGCGAAAGAGGGCGATGGTTTGGTGTTTCGTAACGGCTCATTTTTGATGTAGAAGGGCCAGTCCAAGGGTCTGTCTGAGGCTCTTTCAGTGTAATGGCTCCTACGATGCCTTTACATATTTTAGACTTATTTTGGATGGAATCCCCTATGTATTCCTCTACAACTGCATTTGACTTCCAGCTTTCATGGCGCTTAAGGTATAGAAAAGTGTGGCTGAAGTTCGTCGGAGATAATGACTCGTGTTCAACCGTAACGGGGGTTCTGGAAGTTTAAGAAAAGTTGCTATTTTTCGTGAGAATCTGCTAATTTTATTAGCACCCATAGGCTGTCTGACACACTTTCCGTTGCGATATTGTAGAAAAAATTGGTTGATTGGAGTGTTAGGCGGGCGTAAGGTTTGATATATTTCCTAACAATTGTTATGTATTCCTTGCAAATGACGAAGTCGCGGTCTCTTTTTGTCTTTGTATTAGGTACATTTTAATTAATAGAAAGTCATCTGAATGTTACGCAATGTTTTTGACATTATGTTGTGTTAGTTCATTAGTTGGAAGTGCTTCGTTTATACCAATAATAAGAACAATCTGTAACGTAAAGAGTATTGTAGTAGACAAATTAATCAAATCGATATGCATACATAACTATGCCTATCAACATCTACTAAGTACGTATTAGATTATGTTAACTAGTTGATTAATACACTTAATTAGATACTAAATGTGTAACTGACTTACTTTTGCCGCCAATATACGGAATCAGGTGCTTCGTTAAGAAACTTTTCAATTTTAGATGGTGCGAAAACCTTCGATTTTTTTGGTTGATGACTAGTTGAGGCTATTTTTAAAAATGCTACTAATTTAGGATAGGTGTCGATATGTTTGTCTTTTTTATCTATAATGTTGCTTTTAGCATCGAATACGTACTCCATAGAGTGCTTGATTTCTTGGTCTCGAATAATACAATAAAATATGCCAGCAAAACGTTTTCTGAGAAAGTTTTGGCTACTTAAGCTAGTCGCCACGTGTTAAACATATCGTACTGTTTCATATACTTCTCGCGTGATTGTTGAGGGAGAAAGCTCAATTGCGCATTATTAACAGTTTCAATTCTGTTGACGTCAAATAAACTGCTTCGTCGCTAGAATCACTCATTTTAGGTTTTTCACTTGTTTTCAAGTTTCTTGTTAACAATATGTCGTGAAAAACTTAAGGTTTTAACAATATGTCGTGAAAAGAAAATTAAAAAAAACACAAAGAAAGTTCGAAGTCTGAGTTTTTAACAAAATTAAAAAAGGTTGTATGATAAATTCGGCACCATGGAGGTAGATGTAAATAGGTTAAATAAAAAAAACTTTTTATCCCCGTTTGGAATTTCCCAATAAACTTTCTTATTGCATACTAAGACTATACTTAAAATAATTTCGATCTTTCGTGATTTCAGCTCTGCTAGGATGATTAATTCACATGATTAAAGCTTTTCCTTCCATTTTGCAATATAAATAATAGATTTTTTTAAAACATGCCATTTGAACTGAGTAGTTGAGTACATAGATTTTCTAGTAGGTACCTACGTAATGATCTTATCGAGTAGTAAACGATGCATGACTTTGTTGACTTTTTTCATGCACTCTTTAAATTATACCAACAACATATTCTATACTATCATTATTTGCCAAACTAAAGATGACACACCGTTGTAGCTATAGATCATTATATACCTTTAAGAGTTTTCCAGTGACGATGACGGAGACCGGCGGCGGTCCTCTCGTCTTTCTACACTGATGATCCGTTCCAAATTCTCCGACAGTATACAAA